GATTGAGTCTCCCAAGTGGTGTCATCGTTGGCTAGGCTTTCAGCATCCTAGATGGGCCTTGAATCCGGTCCAAACCAGCCTAACTTCAGGCCCAATTGGCTCCTAACAGAGTTGATGGGATTACCTCCCAATCCAAACTCCAATTATGTGTTAACTATGATTCCTAAGACATATTCTAAGCATTCTAGTTCCGATACGTCAATTGCTCTTCTAACGATCTTCCAGTGAACTTCCGACGAACTCACGGCAATGTTCCAGCGGACTCCCGGCAAGCTCCTAGACTTCACGATGATCTTCTTGGCAAGTTCTAATGAGCTTCTTTGGTAAGCTCCTGGACTTCTCGGTTGGTTTCAGCAGAACTTCCGACGAACGTCCGGACTTCCGACGAACTCTCAAACTCCCAACGAAATCACATTCTTGACTCTGGGACTTCATTTAATTTTATGTCTTGCTATCATAGTTAATCTTGCACACATAAAAACATACTTCGATCTAGACAATTATTACTAGGCATGAATCATGTCGTCCAGCATGTCATTGGTTCATCGATGCTTCGTCTGATTCTTCGGTGCATCATCCTTTCTTGCAGCCTATTGCCCAATCGGCTAGTTGACCTCTACAACTCCGATATCCTTGGAGCAATATCTGCTCTTCTTAGCCTGATACCCGAACTCATGGCCCAAAGCCTTCTATCGATACGTCGACCGATCTTTCGGCGCGACGCCCAATCTTCTAACATGTTTCTCCGACCCAACATGATTCTTCCCGCTTTAAATATCTCTCCCTAATTAAAGCATCCTACATCACTCAAAATGCATATCAAATCATAAACACTTATCAATTGGTTTTATCATCAAAACCCGAGATTCAACAAGACTGAGGATTTTTTACTTATATATGGAGGTAGTAGCCTTAGGGTTAAAGGCTTACATTAACTCGAGTTTCTAGTATGATGTTAATGATAGCAAATCTAATTCGGGGTATGTGTTCACCCTGAATGGAGGAATAGTATGCTGGAAGAGTTTCAAGTAAGATACTACTGCTGACTCGACCACAGAGGCAGAGTACGTTACTGCTGCAAAGGCAGCAAAGGAGGAAGTCTGGATGAAGAAGTTTATCACATATCTGGGAGTTATGGTAGGTAGTGAGGAGTTGATTCCCTTATATTATGACAACAATAGGGCAATTGCTCAAGTGAAGGAACTTAGGTCTCATCAAAAGTCTAAACACGTTCTGAGGAGGTTCCACTTAATCAGAGAGATCGTGATCTAAAGAGATGTAGTAGTGGAAAGAGTTTCATCTGAAGATAATATCATAGATCCACTAATAAAGCTATTATCTTAAATTATCTTTAAGCGTCATAAGGGTCTGATGGGGATCAGATACATAGGTGATTAGCTTTAGGTCAAGTGGGAGATTACTAGTCATAGGTGCCCTGAAAGTCAATCACGTGAGTGATGGCACGTGTGAGAATATACGTATTCTTTTTTCTTATTATATTTTATTATTTTATCACTTTATACTGCTTATTGTATATATATTATTATAATGTCGATGGATCTGTGCAATAGGAATCAGATCGTGATGAGATCATGATAATGAAACCGATTCACCTTTAAACACAGACCCTAAATAATCCTGGTCATAGGTTACTCAAGAGGGACATTGAGATAACCGGATAGACTGGTGTACTGTATACCCGTCCATATGATGAAGGCAGCTGGTCTCATAGTTACTCGTGTTGGGACACTATGGCTACAATACAGGTGCTCATTGGAGAATGAGTTCATTAATTGATCTGCTCACGAAATGCTGGATGGTTAATGATACCTCATTATCAGATAGCAATTTCGTTATTCCAATGGTATACTTGGTTCTTAAACTTAAGACACTAAAGATATCATGTATGAGTACTTCATTCTATGATACCGGACTTATAGGCCTAGAAGTTCCAGATCTAGCACAACCAATCATCATAAGTGGCAGTTAACCTTACGAGGACTATTGAGTGTTGATAGAGGATCATCCACTCTCAATGTTATGAGAAAAATATCTCATGTGTTCTTGCTTAGACAAATCCCTAACCAGGGTCATTCAGATTGAGAGAGAGAAACAGTTTTTCGGGAGAATCCAATTAGAGCGAGACTCGAGTAAAAACCATATAAGTCTGATAGCACAATGCTCAGTATATGGTCTGTGAGATATTAGATGGATGAGAGATTATAGATACATGGTAATTGAGGATATATAGGCCCAAAGGATTGGATTCCTCTATATCATTTGGGGGTTACGGCGTAGTGTGGTCTGGTATGCCCGTAGTCGATGAGTCGAATAAATTATTATAAAGATAATAATTTACTAGGCCAGAAAGAGTTCTGACAAGTAAGACTCACGACCAACTCGATATTGGGCCTAGAGGGTCACACACATATGGTAGGTATTGCAACGAGTAGAGGTTCGGATATGAGATATCCGTCGAAGCTCTTATCTTATTGGATATCCAATAAGCTCCTGAATTATTGGATCCTATAGATAAGATCCAATAAGAGCCAATAAGAGATTATTGGATAGAGATCCACTAATCTAACAGGCTTGGCTAGTTGGATGGAGATCCAATACCCAATAGGGTAGGATCCATTAGGGTTAAGTTGATATGGAATCTCTATAAATATGAGGGAACCAAAAGCTCATAGGCTAGAGGTTTCTTGGTTGCCATCTTTTATTCTCCTCTCCCCTTCTCCTCCTCAGATAGTAGGTGTGAAGATTTGGGCAACGATTCGAGGAGCAGCATTGCAACCCTATTGTGTGGATCACCACTCGAGAGGAGGACGCTTGATCTCCTTCATCCTCTCCTATAGATCTATAGGGATTTAGGGATATACGATCTCCTTAGCTAACACAACTATCTCACGCGTGGTTTTCAGTTTTGTAAATTCTGCACACCAATCTTCGCACGATGACGACCACATTTTTTGGAAACTATGAGATTTTTTTTTTGTTCCTCCGTTGTGCATATGATGTTGCTTCTAGATTTTCCTACAAAAACATGATTAAACTTATTTTTGTCTAGAACATAAAATAAAGCATTTATAGTTTTCACATTTAAAGAAAACTATCTTTTTTCAAAATCACTCTATTCATTCATAAGTTTAGAGGATTTTTTAAAACCACATTTGATTATATTCCATAAATCAAAGTTCATAGAAAGGAAGAAAACTCTCATTCATGTTTTTCAATACGTGTAGTATGTCCCATTGAACATAGGAGGACGAGTGATAGAGTGACCCTCTTAAATGCTACAAAAATATCATTTAATCTCTCTTGGGTGTTAAATTAATTAAAATAAACTTGGCTCTAATACCAACTATTAGGATCGAAATCAGCACTAAGAGGGGGGGGGGGTTGGGTGGTGAATTAGTACTTTTGAAAAACTTTTATTAATTCAAAGAACTTTCTAGATAAAGCTCGTATCGGAAAGATGTTTAACTTGAAAACATTCGCAAGAGTAATAAACAAGTAAATCAATAAGTAATAAGAGTAAACAACAAAGAAGAGAACACACCGGATTTATAGTGGTTCGATCATCATAACCTACTCCATTGGGGCCATCGGCTTTCACTATCGATCTTCTTTTACTAGGTGAAAATCAACTATCCTCTTACAACACTTTTCTCCTTTTCACAGGTTTAGGAGATAACCTTTACAAGTCACACCCCTTCCTTCAACTGAAATCAAGCTTAGAGAAGAGGAGATGAATTCTCATAAGATTACAACAGCGTTTTCTCAAGTTTTTATTCTCAATTCTTATGTAAACTGAACAAAGATGAGTGAGATATTTATAGGCCTCAAATGAATTCAAATTTAGAGCCAAAATAGTCTCATCCCGGGTTTTCAAGGTACTCGCAATACCATCGCCAGTATTGGGTGATACTACCACCTGTCATACTAACAACTAGTGGTACCATTGCTTGTCAGTCTAACACTGGGTGGTACCATCACCTATCAGACTAACACTGCGCGGTACCACCGCTTGACACCGGTGCTCAAGTTTCTCGGAGACGTACACTATCTCACAAGTAGTTCCACCGCCTGACCTAACGGTACCACCACTTGGGCCAATTATGGGTCACTGAATAGGCTTTCCACTTGGCCTAAACTAATCTCAACTCAGACCGAATGAGCCACTAATTGAGTTAGCTTGGTTACACTCGAAACTAACTTAATTAGACCTAAACTAATATGATCTAGACAACCAATTACAAACACGAATCCTATATTGTGTAGCATATTATTGGTTCATCCGGCACTTCCTCTGAATCTTTGGCATGATGCTCTCCTTTGGCATATTACCCGATCATTCGGTATGTTGACTCACGTAACATCTGATCTTGGCATAATATCTGAATCTTTCGGTCTAATATTCTGACATGTCCGATCGAATGTCTGATTCTTCTTACTTCAATTGATTTACGTTTCAATGATCGAAATTAGTCCTATATTAGTCAAACACATATTAGATAATAACTTCATCAATTAATTTTATTATTAAAATTTGATAACTTCTCGTTTTAATATGTCAATCGATTTATGATGATCTTGGTCGACTTAACTCGCACACTTTAGATCTCTATTGAACAACTTAAAGTTCATCACCTTTTCGTACTTTCCGAATCCATCACTGTTCCATCGAAAGGAATCTTGTTAGTACGATCCTCACCTAAATCCTTCAACCTCTCGGCATCGAACTTTTGGATGCTAGACTTGGGTTGATTTCATGTCTTAACTTGCAACAACACTCAATATCAAATTCGATTTCTTTAAATTTTAAATAAATAATCGAATTTAGTAGAAAAATATGATGTTTAGAAAATTTTTTTGGTCTCCTCTCTGTTCTTATTTACAAATCATCACATTTCATCACCACCGTTAGGGTAGCACAAACAGTCAAAGAAAAATAAATTTCACTATAAAGAACAGAAAAGAAAAATGGATAATGCTAATTAATTGTGGCAGTCGAATGCGGTCTCTGGCTTGACGACGGCGGGAACCGTCATCTCCACCCCGCCCTGCGATCGCGTCCTGTCGATGTAACTGCGCACCTCTTCGGCTATCATCTGTCGCATTATCGTCACAAGGCACACGTCCCCAGGCGGCGCCTCCCACGTCCTCTCCTCCCCACTTACGGCGGCCATGACTCCTCCGCCCTCTCCCGGCAGGCTCAGCGACAGCGACGTACCCAGTTCAGCCGCCGCCGATCTACATCCTCCTTCGTTCGCGTTGTCGCTCGAGCGCCGCCGCTTCCTGGCCGAGCCCGAGTAGGAATCGTCCGGCTCGTGATTGGCGGTGGGAGATGACGAAGACGGGAGGATCGGATCGGGGGCTGCGAAGGTGGCGCGGCGGCGGAGGGCGGAGTTCCAGTGGTTTTTAATAGCGTTGTCGGTGCGGCCGGGGAGGAGGCGGGCGATGGTGGCCCACTTGTTGCCGAACCGGGCGTGGGCCTCGAGGATGGCGGCGTCCTCAGCGGAGGTGAAGGGGCGGTGGTGGACGGCGGGGCTGAGCTGGTTGCACCACCGTAGCCGGCACGACTTCCCGGACCTACCGGGGATCCCCGCGCTGATCAAAGACCAGTTCCGGGGGCCGTGCCGCTCTACCAGCCGCGTCAACGCCTCATCCTCCTCCGGGCTCCATGATCCCTTCACCCTCTGCTCCCTCCTATAGCTCTCCTCCGCCATCATCATCATCATCATCTTCTTCTTCTTCTTCGTCCTCCTATTGCTGTTCTTCTTATCCTTCTTCCCTTCCACATACAAGAGATGGGAAGTTATAGAGAGAGGAAGCAGAAGCTGGTACGATTCGTTGGGTTTGTTTGTGGGCGGTCTATAACTAAAAGGGTGGGAAGTTTGGAGTTGAATTCCCATAACACGTTACGCTTCGGCGGAACGGAGATGTGTTGGCTTCGACCCGGTAACTCTTTACGCAACTACGTACCAACCTCCGTAACTGCGTGGACCCCATCATCTCCGCCCTCGTGCCGATCTGTTTCGGGGACGTTTGCCGGTGGCTATTGACCCAACCCGCCTTGGAATTAAAACATAAATTATTTCTTTAAAAAAAAGATAATTACGATAAAAAAAAAATATTTTTAGTTATAATAATTAAGAAAACTTGATTAGTCTAATTAGAATATCTTAAGTAGAGCACGTAGAAGCAATCGATCGCATCCTTTTTTTTATTTCTAATAATATGGATATCTTTGAGTCTCATGTCATAGAAACATATAAAAATCAGTAGTTAAATATAAATATAAGATTCATATAGTTTAATGTTCCTTAGATCCAATGATCCAAATCAATCAAATACAAGGAATACATAGTTTAACATTCCTTAGATCATCCTTTCGTATAAATATTTTTTAAAAAAATATTTTAAATCTACTATTAAGAGTTAGGCATAATCATTCGAACCAAAATCGAACAGATCAATTTTTTAAAAAAAATTAATGAGATGACAAATGACCAATTTACCTTGATTAATAGTCAAACAATATTTTCAAGAGCATTTTGGTTATTTTCATAATTTAAAAATATAAATATATAAAAAAAATTAATATATATATATATATATGTATGTATGTATGTATGTATGTATGTATGTGTGTATGTACGTACGTACGAAAGAACTTATCCAATTCGATTCTAATCTCTAAAAATCTAAAATAGAAATTGTGGATTACAAAACCATGATCATGCCTACTAAGGGTATTTGCTCTATACCTCCCTAACATCAAGACTATTTAAATTTTGAAATTTAAATTTTTTATAATAAAATATTATTTATACTTGGATTCTTTATCGTCCAACTATGTGATAATTGAGGTTGATGGTTTCGCTCCCATTTTGGTTAGGTGTACCACCTGTTTCAGCCTCATTTGATACGAGGTAAGGAATTGAAGGTCAGTGGAGGTGGTAACCAGATGAGTGTTACCATAAAGACAGTGGGTGCATGGGCTTTAATGCAGTACAGTACTGCCATTGTAATGAATGATTATGTTAGTGTTTTTTGGAAGCAAAAACAAAATAAATCTTAGTTTGCAATTAAGAGCTCAAATAATTTCAGTAGTCAGTCGTTTGGTAAATGTGGGTTTTGTTAATCATTTCACATTGTACACTAAGAATGACCAAGAAATCATTTGAAATCTCTATTAGTATTTACACAGTGAAAACTCTCGCTCATTTTTATTTTACTGTTGTCATATTAATCAAGAGTTAATAAAGTGAATAATATTCATCATGTTTGTGTTATATTTTTAATCCTTTAACATCATTTTAAAAGCTACCCTAAATTAACAGAGGGAATGATATGTGGCCGTTTGAATGTGGTAGTCTTGTATCAATTCGGACATCATCTTAGCTCAACGTATCAATCGAATAACTTGCAAAATCAAGGTGATGCATAATCATAATGCTTAACAGTTTGATCAATCTTCACTTAGTTTGTTTTTATAGGAATTATATTCGAATTCGATTATTTCTTAATATTAAAAGTTTCCTCCATTTAAGGCATAACGTGTTGTAGCAGTGTGTGGTAGGAAGTTTAAGGATGCCTTCAATGTGACTTCGATTCCCTCGGTAGCAGGATACATTTATGTGATCTCGTTCCGTATTCCCCGCTCTCGATGGCAGCTGCTCCACTTGGCCGTCGTTAATGGCGGCCAACTCGACAGATTTATATTTCACGTAAGTCTAACTTAAAATTATTAGGAAATAATGTAAGCCCGACCTAATTCTGAACCATTTTCGTCACAATTTCATTGTCGAAATTAAGTAGATTTGGTCAAGCGACTTAGGTCGATGTGCTCGAGAGATTGGGACACAATGGGTGTTCTTGAGGCTTTTTATACGTGCAAGAATGTAACTATTCATATTTAATGGATAGTTATTACATAATTAATAGTTTCATTAAGATGAAGAATTGTTTGAGCCTTAGTATGTTAATTTGACATTGTGTGTTGATCTTACTGTCTCCACGGTGTGGTGTCGATATCAGCACAACATTTGAGTTTCCACGTATTATACATATAGGATCTAATATATTTAAGTTTGATAATTTAGATGAAATCTAGTCGAACTAAGGGATGTCATATAGACGTTTCAAATTTACGATACTCGATGATGTTAGAGTTCATTAAACACTGGGTTAGAACTCACCGCCTACTTTAGTACCAAAATAAATATTTTTTAAAAAAACTTAATATATTTATAAGCCATAATTTTGAGGGGACAAGAAAAGGTATAATCCAACTCAGTTTTTGTGATAACACATCAAAAGAATGAGAGTTGTGCATAACAAATGCGGAGAAAGAAGTGCGACAATTGATAAGGACAAATTTGACACCCTCAGCAACTAAGTCCCAGCCTCTTCACCTTCTAGCTGACATCTTGAGCCATGCATCTATGGTTGATAGCGCTCTACATTGATGATTTACATTAAGCTACCGACATTAACTCCTCCGTCACACAGGGCACACTGTCATTAATACCTCTACCTCTCGGCTAACATAGTGGACAGTGCACAGCACCCAAGTGTAAGAGCCACACCTCAAGCCAAGCTAAGCCAAGGGCGGTCAGTAGGCAACAATCTCTCGACTCTTTACTCTCTCATTTTTACATAGCTCATACGGTTATCTTTCGCGCCCTCCATCTTATACTAACTTAAGCATTAGATGAGTTGAGCTGAGAAGCCCCCTAGTATCAACCGATTATGCAGGATCACTAGCGGCCAGGAGATAACCTCGCAGCTTGAAGATGACCTGACAGTTAAGAGAGGACCTCGTGACCGAGTAGATCCCAATTCCTCTACTTAGCCTCATCGCTCCAATGTCAGATCAGCCCTAGTAAATCGTCTCCCTTTAGACTCCAACGCGGGTTCGCATCTGCACTCACACATCGACGCAAAAGAGACACAAGGATAAACCTGTGTCTTTGACAATGAACGAACCGTGTCGACAGGGACTCACCTGTCGACGGTATCGATGCTCAATCAACAGTAATGGCGATGCATCTTTGTCACGATGAGTTCAACCACTGACGCTACAAATAAGCTGTTTCTTTACCCTTTCAAATCTCCTTCTCTCGTTCGCTTTCTTTGTCCTACCAGATCTCTCTTGCTGGTAAAACAGACCCATCTTTATTCCCAACACACATTACTTCACCTCCACGAAAACTCCAACACAGTCCTTCCATGTCACAAAGGCCAAACCAGAAGCTCGCACACACAAACATCCTTCGAAAGGGACTGATTAGAACACTGTTCCTTCTTACACTTCAAGTAAATGTCTGAACTCTGAAGAGAATGCAGACTGCACTGCACACTCTCGCACGAGATGGTAGATGTAGTCCCAAAGCAATTCTGGCTGTAAATAAAGCACCTGAAACAAAGGAAAAGTTCCACCATAAAGAAAAAGCTGGCCATCTTCGATCGTCTATCTTGGTTCTCAAATCTTAGTGAAACACCAACATACCACCAAGCCAAGACAGCTACTCCTTATCAACCACTTTTAAGCCAAGCAAGTTCGTGTTCAACCCCATGCATCACTCGGTTTACCTACCTGTAAAGAATTGACACCAGCAGGACCAGCCATCGCCAAATGACAAGCGAGCCCTCAGCTGATCACCACTGTGTTCCTTGGCAATGGAGAATCCAGTAATCTTCCGGTGGGAAGGAGAGACTATAAGATGAACAAAAGAGACATGGTTGTTGGCGATCTCAAAAAGCAGGAGCATCACTTGGGCATCCGTCTTCCTTCACCAAAAACATGCCGAAGGAAGAGGAAGATACATGCCAGTCTCTCCTCAGAAGCAAGCTCGAAGCTTCTCTCCAGAGGATTAGCTTCCTGGAGATGGAGAATGAGCAGCTGAGAAGAGAGAATGCTCTGCTTCGAGCCCAGGATGCTGATAGGAGATCGACGCCGAGGAAGAAAACACAGGCTTTTGTTGGCAGCATCAGCTCATCGCAGGAGAAGCAAATGTATCAGACCGGCACCGATGATGGGTTGCAATGCGAGAACTCGATTTCCAGAACAGAGTTATTCGGCACGTCTGTGGCAGCCAGGACAAGATCGCCTAGAGTGCCGAATCCGCCCCCGAGTCCCAAATCCTCTTCCCCGACAGCGAAACCAAGCAAGGAAACCGGGTTGCCTCCGCCGCCACCGCCGCCGCCGCTGCCGCTGCCTTTGTCTTCTTCGAGGTCGAGTTGCAGGTCCATCAAGGCAGTGCGAAGGGTGCCGGAAGTGTTGGAACTCTATCGATCTCTGACAAGGAAAGAAGGGAAGTCAGACACGAGAGCCGGCAGCCTGGGAGTTCCTGCTGCTACAAATGCTCGAGAAATGATAGGCGAGATTGAGAACCGATCCGCCTATCTCCTCGCTGTAAGCTTAGTTAGCACCACTCACAGATCACAATCTCAACCCGAATCTTACTAGTGATCCATGTCACAGATAAAGTCGGATGTGGAGACGCAGGCTGAATTCATCGGCTTCCTCACCAGGGAGGTAGAAAACGCAGCTCACGGGGACATCTCCGAAGTGGAAGCATTCGTGAAGTGGCTGGACGACGAGCTTTCCTACTTGGTGGACGAGAGGGCGGTGCTCAAGCACTTCCCCAAGTGGCCGGAGAAGAAGGCGGATGCGATGAGGGAAGCGGCGGTCGGCTACCGGGAGCTGAAGAACCTGGAAGGTGAGCTCTTCTCCTTCCGCGACGACAAGCGACAGCCCACCTCCGTCGCCCTCAAACGCATGCAGGCGTTGCAGGACAAGTAAGACTTAGGAACTAATCCAAAGGTGAGCTCTTCTTCCGCATGAACTGCGGACGCTCGCTCAGTCTCTTCACTGACGCAGATTGGAGCGCAGCGTGCACAACATCGAGAGGGTGAGGGAGAGCGCGAGCAAGAGGTACAGAGATCTCAAAATCCCTTGGCAGTGGATGCTCGACAGCGGCATCATCGCCCAAGTACGTGTCTTTCTTTACAAGGCACCAATCAGATCCTTGGCGAAGAAGATGATCTCAATGCATGAATATATGTCTTGTGCAGCTAAAATTGGGATCCATGAACCTGGCAAAAGAGTACATGAACCGAGTTGTGACTGCGGTGAAGCTTGATGCGTTCTCGGATGACGAGGAAGTAATGCTACAGGGTGTTCGATTTGCTTACCGTGTGCACCAGGTAACCCTTTCTCCTGGGATTCTACTACTTCTCCACGCTGAAGTCACCAACATGCGTCAAATTGTTCTTCCAGTTCATCGGTGGATTTGATGAAGAATGCAAGCATGCGTTCCAAGAACTGAGGAAGGTAGCATGTGATTGATTGCTAGTATTCAACGCGGGAATTACCCGCGAACAAAGAGTTGGACGAGTCCTCACGAGAACCATAGCCACATCATTTTGAGGACATTGGCAGCATCAAAGTCAAGATTTTGAGTACGTTATGTTTTGCCAGTAAAATTGTAGTAATTCATTTCCTTTATGTTTGATGCATGTTGGTAAGATTTTTGTAATTCTTCCAAGGCGATAAAACGTTATGTTTCGCCTGTAAAATTTTAGTAATTCATTTTCCTTTATTTGGTGTTGACAGTACAGTTTATTAGTAGAAATTTAGTGGATGAGACTCGAGCGGTGCCGCTGTCATACCTGAGCGGCATCATTCCACTCTTTGTGGGACGGCGTCATACTCGAGTGGTGCCACCGTCACACCCGAGCGGCACCTTTCCACTCTTTGCGGGGTGAAGTCGTACTCGAGCGACGCTGTCCCAACTTTTGCGGGTCTGTCACATTGACTTCAAAGCTTTTCGTTGGTGCTGATGTGGCTGTGGATGACTACCTAAGGGAGTACTACTAAATTGTGCCTTATCATTCTCTCTCTCTCCCCCCCCCCTAGAGAGCCACGCTTCGACTCCTCCTAGAGAGGTTCGAGACATGGCATGGTGCTTTTAGCCTAAGTGGGCTAACCGTCGCACTTGAATTGTTGGTTCAATCATGAGTTGATGCTGGGCTGGTCGGAAGTAAATGTCGAACGACTTTATGATTGGACAAGCAATGCTGCTTGGGCATTAAAAGGTGGCATGGTCAAATGCCATAGCTCGGGGCTAGGAGGCTTATGTAGGGCCGAGCATTATGGCTCAGGTGGGGGACATTGATGTGAGCAAGCATTCTTACTCGAATACTAAAGACCGACGCGACCGAGTGTCATGACTCGGGAGGTGAAGACTGATGCAATCGAGCGCCATGGCTCGGGTACTAAAGACTGATGCAACCGAGCAATGTGACTTGGGCACTGGAGACTGATGTGATTGAGTGTCATGGCTCGGGTATTGAAGACTAATGCAACTGAGCATCATGACTCAGCTGCGACTTGCAGAAAACAAGCCGTGGCACCCGAAAACGAAGCCGTTTTGGGCAGTTCAGCTTGGTGAATTGAGCGATTGCATTGCAGCGCTATAACCCACCCATTCGAATATGCATTTCTACAAGTAAAAACACACAAAACTAAGGTAAAACATGCTACCATGTCTCGGTACAAGCATGCAAAAGTGATGAACGGTTTGTCGAACGAAGTTGTTGCGGGTGCGCGACGACCGTTCGTAACATTCTCCCGCACTTAAACTATCGACGCTTGTTAGTAGTTGTTGATGATTGCTTTTTCATGTCATAGGGTATCTTCAAGCTCTCAACTGGCTTCAGTTCGGGGAAGCTTTCGCCACTTCACCAACTACTCGGTCTACTCAACTCCATTGGGTAGCTTTATCCTGCGATCCGCTAGAATGGTTTCAACTCGCTTCTCGTAGGAGGCTCTGGTGGGGGGTAGTCGAGTTGGAACACTTCGAAAAGGTGGGCTTTCAAGTTGCTGGCATAAAAAACATTATGAATTTTGAGTCACGCCGACAGTTGCAACATGTAGGAGACGTTGACTACTCCCAGTATATCCAATAGCCAAGGTGTGAGGAGTCGATGGTTATTGCCTACTATCGGCAAGCTTGATATGAAATCCAAGGAAATGCTCTCCCACGACCTTTCTGGTACGGGTAACTTCTCTAAAAGTCCCATCGTTTTCTGCTGCTTCTGTCACGACCCGAGTCTGATGAGCCAACTGGCCAATAACTCCATTTTGGTCCTTCAACCATTGACCAAAATGCTTAAGCGAGAGTTAACATAGTACACTCATCAGGCCCTTATAAGTTAATCATACACATTGCCCACTTCCGATGTGGGACTAATGGGATGTTACAGCTTCACCTTATCTTGTTGGCAAATGAGACATGTTTGAACATATTCCTCCACATCAATCCTTATCTTCAGCCAATAGAAGTCCCTCTCCACAAGAGCCAAGGTTCTGTGAATGCTCAGATGTCCAGCTCAAAGGGAATCGTGACACTCTCTTAAGAGATCACACCTCAAATTGTCCACTCGAGGGACATAAACCCTATTCCCTTTTATGTAAATAAGTCCCTCCTGGACCCAAAATCATCGTATCTTGCCTTCTTTGATGAGTTACATTAGGGTTACTACCTGGGGATCATTGTACAGTCCATCCCTGATCCTAGAAGGGAAGTTGGAGTGCAACTGACTTACTTAGCCTTTGCCCTCCAATTATGCAGCATTCACACACTCCACTTTTCGACTCAATGCATCGGCCATGACATTTGCCTTTCCGAGCTTGTACTCCATTGCCATATCAAACTCAGCTAGGAAGTCCTGCCATCGTGCTTGCTTAGGGGAGAGTTTCTTTTGAGTTTGGAAATAGCTCAAAGCGATATTATCTGTCCTCAGCACAAATCGCGATCCAAGAAGGTAGTGTCACCAAACTCGTAGATAGTGGACCACTGTTGTCATCTCCTTCTCATGCACCGGGTACCGCCGCTCGATCTTGTTGAGCTTGTAGTGCTCGTAGGCCATTGGATGACCATCCTGCATGAGTACTCCCCCAATAGTGAAGTCTAAAGCATCTGTATGGACTTTGAAGGGCTTCCCATAGTCCGGCAATTTGAGCACCGGTTCTTTCAACACAGTAGTCTTTATATCTTGGAATGTAGCTTCACATTTATCATATCACCTCTAAGGCTTCTCCTTCAGCAACTCTGTCAGTGGAGTTGCACACTTCGAATACCCCGATATGAAGCGTCGATAGTAGTTGACGAAACCAAGGAAGGATCTTAGCTCTAGCACCTTCTTTGGAGTTCGCCATTCCGTAAATGCTTGCACCTTCGATTTGTCTATCTGAATGGAACCATCACCTATTCAATGCCCCAAGAATAAGATATCTGTTTGAGCAAAGTATCACTTCTCCCTTTTCATGAACAAAGTATTCTCCTTGAGAATCTTGAAAATTGTCCGAAGGTGCTTGACATGCTCCTCGAGCGTTTGGTTGTAGACGACGATATTGTCTAAGTAGACGACCACGAATTTATCCAAATACTGTTTAAATAGTTGGTTCATAAGAGTACAGAATGTGGCCAGAGTGTTGGTTAAGCCGAAAGGCATCACCAAAACCTCAAACGCTCTATAGCTGGTCACGCAGGTAGTCTTTGCTTCGTCGCCTTCAACAATGTGCACCTGCTAGTACCCCGACTTGAGGTCGAGTTTAGAGAAATACTTAGCTTTGCCCAATTGATCGAATAAGTTCGCGATGAGTGGGATATGATACTTATTCTTCACCTCACTTTATTGAGGGCTCGATAATCGATACATAGTCGAAGGCTCCCATCTTGTTTCTTTTAGAAGAGAACTGGAGCTCCGAATGATGCTTTAGAACTACGGATGAGACCACCGCTTAGTAGTTCACATAACTACTTTTTGAGCTCTACCAACTCTGGAGGGGGCATGTGGTAGGGTGGTCTCGCTGGAGGCTTCACTCTTGGCTCGAGCTCGATATAATGATCCACGCCTCTGCGTGGCGGTAGAGTCTTCAGCAACTTAGGTGGCATAACTTCTGTGAACTCCTTCAGGATGTTTGCCACTATAGTAGGTTCATGAATGGCCTTCTCGTCGAGTGGCTCTAGCTTTATAACAGCCACGAATGTTAATTCACCTTTTCGTACCCCTTTCTTTAGTTGTAATGTCGAAATCTATTGGGGTTCCTTGGTTCCTCTCCAAGAGACGGGAACCACATAGGGGTTGTCACCTCCCATTATACATAGGGAGTTTAGGAACGATATTGGTACCAACTTTGCTGCGTGCATAAACTCCATTCCAATAATCACTTGGAAGTCGTCCAGTGGCACCACCATTATATTTGTGCTCCCACTCCATGTTTCGATCTTGATGGGAACTCCCTTTGCCAACCCGGAGATCTACTTGGCCTTCGAGTTCACCGCCTTCATCTGACTTAGGTTTTTCTCCAAGATCAGTCTAAGTCGCTTTGCTTCTCGATCAGTAATAAAGTTATGGGTAGCATCCATATCCATAATTGCATAGGTTGTTTGGCCATTGAGCTTAATGTCTACATACATCAGCTCGTTATTCCCTACTTTCAATGGTTTTGACTTTATGTTCTCCCCCACTTAACCTCGCAATGCATTCAACAAATGCATCGGTCCCATTCGGAGATCTTACAACTCCCCATCGTCGCTACTAGATTCTAAACTACTTGAATTGAGGGCGACGGCTTTGCCCTTGTCCGATTTGGGGCGATGGATGGAAGCTGTTAAAGCATCGAGTGCATATTTTTGTGGGCACTCCCTCACCATGTGTGGCTCTCCGCACAAGAAGCATCCGCTAGTTTTCGGAGCCTTGCCTTTTGAGCTTGGCCCTTTATTGGAACTCTTCTTCCTTTGTTCACCCTCGGGCTCCTTCCCTCGAGAATATTTTGGAGGGCAAATTCCTGGAGATTGTTTCCTTTTTCCTAGGTCCTCAAAGGAAACAAAGTCAATGAGCTATTCTATAGCAGCAATTGCCCCGATCATATCGGTGACATTCCTTCGATGCAGTCCTTGTTGAGCACATGACTTCAAACTATCGAGGAAGCTAAACAGTTTATCCTTCTCGGACATTTCCTGTATATCCAACATTAGTGCAAAAAATTGTTTCACATAATCTTGAATGGAAGTACTTTGGCGGAGTTGTCTTAGTTTCCTCCTTGTGACAATCTTTGTGTTCTCAGGTAGAAATTGAGTTCTCAACTCTTGCTTTATGTCCTCTCATGTGTCCACCTGATACCGAACTTATTGGATCTCCTCTCAATGGGTTCACTACCAAAGTTTTATAACCCCGTTCAGATACATGGTTGCTATTGAAATTTTGGTATCTTTAGAATCAGGCCTTGTAGCTTAAAAATACTGTTCTATATCAAATAAGAAATTCTCGAGCTCTTTTGTATCCGTAGCACCTCCATAACAATGAGACTCAAGTGCTCTCAAGTTTTGTAGCAGTGCAACGCGGGTGTTGCTCCCTCCTACATTTAGTGCCCTTGTGAGTGTTGTCACTTTAGAAGTGAGTTCCGCCACGACTTCGTGCAAATGTTGCATGGAGTCTTTAGTATCATCCGTCAATCGATCGACTATGGCCTCAACCTTATCGATTCGAGATTTGGCTTCTTCTTGCGAGTTCTCT